AACACATAATACTATTATAGAAGCAGATAATATATATTTCGTTGTTGTCGCTGTGACCGTATCTATTATATATTTTAAAACTAGACTCACCCTTGTGGAAAAACGATTCGAGATAATTCCAAACACTTTTTCGCAGATAGATTGGAGATCCAGTCAGACACTAGTGTCTCGAGATTAGTTCGTGTCAGCAGACCCATGGACGAATTTAGATCGTTGGATTAAGGCTATTTTATTATAACTTTCTGAATGCTATACAGCAGGTATGTTACTATCTTATAGCCCGTGGATCGATATATTAGAAGTGCTAGAATTTGGAATGGACCTAGAAATACGCAGCTCAACTAATTATTCAACAATTTTAGCGTACCATTAATATTTATTTTAAGTGGAACGTACGTAACAGTTTGGCATATATTGTGGCAAGTTAATCGAAATACATTTTCATTAACATTTTAACTTTATTTCTTATTTAAAAATATTTCTAAATGTTGTTTGTCTACAATTCCAAGTGAATTTACATTATGGACAACAGTAATAGTTAAAATTTTACATTTTTTATGAATAAATTATTAAATTATTTTATATTGTAATATTATAAAAACTTCTAAGGGAACCTCATCGTTTTCGGATGTTTTGAAAAATGTACTTTATATTAAATTTAATATAAATAATATGAGCCAAATTAATTCATGACCTGCTATAATTCAAAGGCTAAAATTGAGGATTAGACAGTTTATGATACACTCAAAATCAACTTTTCAAGAATATTTTGAAGGAGTATTTGATGAAGGTGAATCCATAAAAAAAAAAAAAAACAAATTTACTAGACAATAAAGTTTCGTTTTAATAATTTAATAAATTAATTAATACATTATCTATGTATAGGAGATATTTATACGGTTAATGTTCATTATACAGTTTTTGATTTTAAAAAACTGTGTTTAAAATATATTATTTTTTGTAATCACAAAAACAATCGCTTACATAAACAAATATTATAATATGTATTAGTTTATACTTGATAAAGAAAATTAATTTTCAAAAGGGCCGTGATGATCTGTTAAAATATAGTATATAGTACGAAAAATTTAAAATTGTTGACCCTAGGTTATACATGTTTTAAAATGCCATAATTTTAATGATTTTCATCAAAATTTAATCTTAAAACTTTAAAAAAAAAAAAAAATACTACGTTTTGTTCAGACGTTTTTTTTTCAACTTTTCTACTAGCAATTTTGCTCTGACTTACAATGATAGCACGTTTTCTGAATATATGCTATCATTTCATTTTTAAAACGAATAATTTTTCGATTTTCCCAAGAGTTTTCCAAGCAAATATGTAAAAAACTGGCAAAAAAGTGAGAAAAACGTAAGAAAAATGGACAAATCGGTACACTGATAAACAAATATTTATGAATAAAATTTGTAATGCATATTTAATTATTTTACTATAATATGACGTAAATTGACAAAGCAACACTTTCAACAGAACTCCGCTCAGAATCATGTTTTCGTTAGCAATAGTTTATTGTTGCATATAGATGTACATTAAATTCCCGTATGTATCTTACCTTCTCAAGCTTCCACCAACAACAGTGGCTGCACCGGTCCCCATTATCCCAGGACAGATTTTTTTTTTTTTAAACCACGCATTTTAGTACCACTTGTTAAATTTTCGAGCATTGCTGTTTAGACTAACAATATTATCCATAGATAGTACCTACCGAATAATAATTACGTAAAGAACTCGCAAAATAAAACTGTCTATAGATACTTAACTCAAACGTTTTAAAAATGTTACCGCGTCTAGAAAAGGCAAATATAAAATTTTTGTATGCATAATAATAATACATATTTAATATTTTTTGAAAATGTAAACATTTATGTCTGAAATCGGATTCTGATATTTTTAATAATAAATTTGCTTAATTGTTTCGCCATTACGTACAACAATAATGTATACAAATATAAATCATATTTTAGTGCGTCATGACGTCAAATATTTTGTAATATACATTACACAGAAGCGATAAGGAAAATGGGGTGAATTGGCAACAACCCAGATTCTCAAGGGCTATGTCACCGGTAGATTTCCATTGAACTTCCTGTGTTCTCATTTGTAGTACTTGGTAAAATTTAATGATGCGAAGATGTATACAATTTTATTATACACGGCGTATAGGATTATTTTATATAATGGTATGAAACAATTTGATTGTTTTGGTTATTCTGTTCCTTATGAAATGTTTTATCATTATTGAATATTGTAGTAACTAAGAAATATAAAACCAAACAAGTATATAAGTAACTATTATTGAAAAAAATCATAATTAATCATCTCGTGTAAAATTAATTGAAAACAAAGCAGTTATTTTCATTAATCTAAGGGGCGAAGTATAGGCAAATTATTCTCAATCTCGGGGGCACTGACGAGACACATTACGCCACTCTTTTTGATACTGTGTCCCGTATTGTCGTTTAAGGAATTTGCTAACAATCATAGCCCAAGACACAACTATTTATTATTATAACGTTGGAGTATAGAAACGAACGAGACAATTTATTTTCACCATTAGCGGCCGAAACACCGCGACTTTTCGTTTGAAAATGCGCGATATATCAGCACCCGTAGGTATAATAACGTGAGCCAATGATATTTTTATATAGCGGACGGAAATCACTACTTTGAGTAGTAAAATCGCTTCGACTGTTGTTACGTTTCTAAAAAAAGAAAGAAGACTTTTCGACTCTCAAAAGTAACATTGTTTTTTTTTTTTGATCGATCTCGTAAAATGTAGCACCCTAAACATTAATCGTTACAAATTACAACACGATATAAAAATAATTTATTTACGTTTGACGACCAGAGAAAAAGAAACTGTTTATTTATTTATTTTATTTTAAAAATATAACTAATATAACTGTAATAGTTACGTGATTCATTTTACTATGAAGACTTAAGTAAAAATAATATTAAACTGCGGATTATATAGGTAATGTAATTTCATTAAAAACGTGATTTTATTTTGGTAAAATGTAGCGGATTTTTTCTTATGAAAAATATAGCATTTAACGCAGTGCTTATTAATAAAAGGAGGGGGGTCTCTGGAGCACGAAGTACCACTTCTTTTCGTAGAATATTTTGGCGTATCACTTCTAATTTTAGATTCTGAGTGGATCGAAGAAACTTATGATTTTACAAAGATGTTTATTTTTTATGTTGTTCTGTGGACCACTTTTCTACCGGATATCTTGCTCTGATTTTTATGTGTAGCATCTTTTCTGAAAGGAAATCGACGTGAGGAGGTAAGGTAGTTCGGGTAGGTTATTTTTCGATTTTCTCAAGAGTTTTCTCATCAAATGCGTAAAACAGAAAAAAAAAGACAAGAAAAAGTACGAAAAATATTATTATATTATTACGATTTTGTTTTCTTCGGACAACTTTTCTACCAGAATTTTGCTCCAATTTAAAATGATAGCAATTTTTCTTAAAGGAAATTTCACTGACGAGGTACTTTAAACGTCGTCGTTTTTCGATTTTCTCAAGATTTTTCCAATCAAATGCGAAAAACCGAAAAATAGAAGGACCGAGGAAAAACGGGAAAATGTAAGAAATGTAGGTATAAGAAAATATATTATGGTCTTAATTTTTCTTAACGGTTTTAATTAGGTCGAATTCGATCATTACAAGGGACGCTCCTTTTGTTTTCTTAGCCTCATAGCAGGCACCTCATTTGTCCGATTCGGACTATACGGTACTGACCAAAATAAAACCATATAATAATCCGCAGCATTCAGTACAAAGGAGAGTTTGTAATTTGCACCAATACAAGGGTTTGCAATTCGAACCACTGCAGACAGTTGAAAATAGTGTTTATTATTTGCACCATAATGAATATCTATGTATTTAATTATCGAGTATTCGATTGTCAAGTACTTATTCGAGTGAGCCACAATGGTATAAAAAAAAAATGTTGCCCGTCTATACTACTACTTTTAAAAATCCAACAATTATTGTTTTCTTTAAGGTAAGTTTATCTTTACAATATTTTGTTTCTAAAGAATAATATAATTTTAAATAAATTGAACAATGTACACAAATTTTATTGAGCTATTTTTATAAAACATTATTATTACATTATTTGATTATTATTTTCAAACTTTCATATATTTGGATATTAATTAGTTTTCTCACTTAAAGCGATAAAATATATATTATATTTTAGATTCTGAGTGAAGAGAAGAATGGCGTATTGGTTTTGCAATGATGTTTATGTTAATTTCGGGATTTCTAACTATCCGTTACCTTATCTGATAATCGTTTTCAAACAAAGTTTTCGTAATTTATTATGTCGACCAAATACTAATCTAACCTTTAGTCTTCTCGACTTTTCATTTGTAACACAAAAATATGTACTCAATTATATTTTCGCCTAAAATATTACAATTATTATAATATCGTAGAATACATTTGGAATATTTTATTGTTTTAAGGTAACTTTTAAGTCAATACTGACGTACCGTAAAACGGCATAAATAGTTAAGTGAAATAGCCACTCGAAATCGAAACGGAATATTCTGTGTCTTAAGCTTTTGATTTCTCGATATATATTATGCTTTACTATCGAAACTTGTACGTAGATACTATCGAAAAAAATAATCGATTTGAATTTCGGTACAAATTACAACGACTATTTCTTACTACATGGGAATGCAACATATTTACAAGCGTAGTTAAAAAATGTTGGTACAAATTACACATGTTGTACATATATTTACGGTAGATTCTGGTACAAATTGACTACACCCCTACAAACAGCATACTACTTTCGATCACTTCGATATTATTATCGACTTCTATCCACGGTACGATTAAACGAAACCGATAGTCCCGGCCCCCGGGCTTGCCGAGCGGAGAGAGCAGCTAGAATGACGACGGCGGCGGCTGCGATAGCGGTAACAGCCACAGAGTAGTAGTGGGATACCGCTATCGTGGTAACAGGTATTACAATAATATAGGCACCTCGGACGACATCGAGTTAATAATGTAACAGTCGCGTTCTGGTGGCCGATACGATTCGATCGCGGACTATTTTTTTTTTTTTTTTCATTTTTTTCAGGCCGACTTAAAAATAATATTATTATACTTCGAGTCTGTTCTTTCTTTTTCCACCGACTCGTATATTATTTTATCGAATTATTTTACCGCACGATTTCGGTTTCCGACGAATATTTAATATTTCTGTATTGTATTATACGAACAGCGCGTGCGCGGATTTGGACCATGGTCTGGACTCCCAGCCCTTCGAGTACGGCAAGGCTCGGCAAGGTGAGTTTATCGTGGCATTATTTCTTTAAACTAACGTAAAGTCGATCGCCTGTCGTGTTGAAGAAACCATAGTTATATTTTGATATCTCTATTGCGCGCGATCGATATGCAGGGATCACGTGGAGGGTGCATAACGTGATCAAATCCAGAATTAGGGATTTTGAAAAGCTGATTATGGATTGTATTATGGGCGGCATTATTATTATTATTATTTTTTTTTTTTTGTTTACAATCGAATTTTTTTTTAACGAACGAAAATGTGTTGTATAAACTGTAAGAAAATGAGAACAAATTTTTAAAAAAAATAACGTGAAAATAGTAATGTTCTGAAAAAAAAAAAAAAAAACTGAAACCCGTAAATTGTGAAATCCGAAATCCGGATTTTTCGGATATTCGAAGAATCCGGATTTACGTCACACTTCAGACGCTGCACTGTCTAGTAGAAAACGAGCTGATCGAAAATATTACTGGAAAGACGATACCTATTTATGTTTATACGATTTATACAATCCGTTTGATCGTACCTAATAATATTAAATAGTATACTCCATTTTCGTGGAACGTTTATACATTCTGACGGTATATTATTTTTGTAATAATAACCCAGCTGAGTTATAACGTGTGAACGCCAAGTGTTTACTGAGAAAAAAAAATAAAAAAATGTATTTTTATTCGCATAAAATACAAAAATTATCAACCATGAAACAACGTGTTTGTCATTGAAAACATAGAAAAATAGTATCGAAAAAACTATAATATATTCTTGTAATTAAATCATAATACAAAATATTTATTATTTTTATTCATGAAGGCTATTGCGAAGGAAACTGTAACTCAAAAACTATAATACGATATTAAAAAAGCTGACCTAGGATAATGAGGACGGGTGAAGTCATTGTTATAGGTAACTTAACGTATATCTGTAAGCAACGTTAAACTATTGCTAACGAAAAAACGATTCTGAGTGGAATTCAGTTGATAGTGATGTTTCGAGAACAATATATGTTATATTGTGGTAAAATTATTAAATATAGACATTATTATTATAATGTTATAATATATTTTCTTTAATAATGTTATTATTTTGGTTTTCCCTGGTCTTCCCATGGTTTTTCCCAGTTTTTTCATATTTGCTGGGAAAACTCTTCGGACACCGATTTCATTTTAGAAAAAATGCTACACTTAAAAATCGGAGAAAGATTTCTGGTAGGTATAAAAGTTGCGCGCAGAAAAACAAAAAAATAAACAGTTTCGTAAAACTTGCAGCCGAATTAGAAAAAAAAAAAGATACCCCGAATAATTACCTAGGTCATCACTTGGTTATGATTAAGGTAATTAACAATATTGTGTTATGCCTTGGTGGCTTCTATACAAAAACCGAAATCTGTTAAGTACTCGATTTTTTTTATCAATACATTTTATTAATAATAATAGTACTATCGATGAAATCAATAGAGTAGGTGTAAAATAATCACTACAAACATATAATTTAATAATAATAGGTATAATATATTATAATGATATACATGTACTTGAGAGATAAAATCTATGTGTTCACGTAAAACAATCAAAAAGGCTTTGAAAGTCAGTTTTCGAGACATAACATAACCTATATTTTAAAATTTTAAAAAGACTACGTCATTTTGAAGACAGTCTTAACAACATTTTTTAAATGTTATTTAAGTATTAAAGTCACATAAAAAAAACAAAAACTAATTTCAAAATACAATTTGTTTTTTACCTTCGATATAATTTGTTGAATATTTAGAGAATTGTAAAACGCCGACGGGTTTGTCTTCAAAATATCATCATATACGAATTTTTTTTTATTGGTATTTTATTTCCGAAATCGATTTTCGAAAAGCCCTTTTCGTTTGTCTTACACGAACACAAATGTGTGAACAAATGTTCAATATTGTCCGTCAGAAAGACAGAGACGTCAGCTGCCACCGGCCCCGGCCTCTGAATAATAATAAATTGAAATGAATAAAAACGATATGTAATTAATTAATTTGTATGAAAAGAAAAAAGTAATTACTTACCTGCTATTTTCGTAAACGCAATAGTAAATAAATTCATATAGAAAATGTTACCTAGACCTAATTATTTTCCGAACAAAATAAATGGATGACCATCAAAATCCAAAGATTAAGTAAGTAGATAGTAAAAGCATTGCCATTTTAATGACGTTCGAATAAAATAAATAAGAGCCGGCAGAACTCGGGAATTATAAACGTTTTTCTTCTGTATAATGTCATTTTGAAAAAGAAGAAAAAAAAACCCGGAAAAAGAATGATAAATGTTTCCCTAGAGATGACGTAGTCTGCGATGGGAAAGAGGTACACAGAATCATACAAAGAGGGGTGGGCGACTTCACTCTGGCATTTATGAAATTGGACGGCGACCGACTTTTATAATTTAAACTCTGAGCTTTTGTGATAATAATATTATAAGATCAGCGTAAGATAGTCGTTTGTATTTACATATATTATAATATAAAGGTTGAGTTTGTAAAATGTAATTTTTTTCGTTCGTTAAAAAAGTCACGACTTGCAAAAAAAAAAAAAATAAATGGTGAAAAATAAGCTCGGGAATAACTTATTTTACGCACACCTACACTCTAATATAATTAAATTGTTAGCGACTTGCATCGCGGTTGGTAACAAACAAATATATACAGATTAACAATGTTAGGCAGTAACTATTGTTAAATGTTAAGTTATAGGAAGTTAATTTTCTTTGTTAACTTTTAACTAAACTATAGTTAAAATAAAAAAAAAAAAACATATTTTAGAAAAAATAACTTATTTAATAAATTAATTATTTCTTTCAATTTTTAACGAATATCGTTAACTCAACTCGATTGTTGTTGTTATTCCGAAGTAGTTACTTACGAATTTTTTGTATTCAAAAAAACTGTGTGCTTCAGTTGTTCACAATTTACGTTTCGGTAAAAATTAACTTAAATATTTTGCTCAGTTTTTTTTTTTCCTTATATGATAAGAACGATCAAAGTAGTTTTAAAAGAAAAAAAAACTGTTCACTCACCCAGTTTAGTTTACGCGGGCCGTGACGAATCTAGACGAATTTGCGTACGAGTATTATACACGCTTAAAATGTCCGGTCAATTTATTTTATTAGTTATAAGTTAATTATTGTAACGTTAGACATGTATATAGGACAACACTGTAGAGATAACCTTCTGTTAAAAAGGTATAACCACAACACACGATTACACGCGTGGACTTTTACACGACATTATAACACCATCATGAATCATTCACCTATTTCGCAATACACAATAATATTGGCTGTAATACGAGTATACCTACGGCCCAAGTACGAACATGATAAATATTATATTATACTTTGAAGCGCTTTGAAAAATATTTCCAGATATTATTATCGGCTTGGATTTTTACGGTAGGTACTAATGTCATTTTTTTGTTTTCTGTTCCAAAACGTAGTCCCGTAGTCAATTTCGTATTGCATTAATCGTTCACCACGGGTTTAGCTTTCTATTATTTATATATGATAAACAATTTTCTAGATGTTTAAATCGTTTTTACGTTTATTTCCATCGTCACAATTTCAATCGTATCACGTTAAAAATAAAGGTCCCACGGAACTCCGAGACGCGTTGTTTGTCCCATCATTCAAACTCGTACAATAATATCACAAATAGTCTCGTCAGTTTCGATAAAATTTCTATCGACCTTCCAGCAGCGAAATAATCAAATACTCAGACGGTACATATCGTATCGATCGTTTTCAAATGAACTGGGCTGGACACGTTAAAACGTCTCTGACGATGAAATGTGTTTACGCACGACTGTTTTTTTTTTTTTTTTTTTTTTATATAATTTGTTTACGCTACACGCAACTCGCCGGGCGCGAAATCAACAAATATAACTTTTAATCGACACCAATTACCGATACTGTTCGATAATGACAACAATAACAATGACGCACACTTCTTAATACACCGGCAGGTTTTCTTACTTCCTATATTACGTATTGAACGTTACCGACGGACAATACAGGCGCGTTCTCCGGCGAATAATAATTAATTTGGTCGACGACTTAGAATAATTACGATTGGGATGCGCCTCTACTATTATTATTACGACGGTCGGCCACGATAATATCATGGTATGAAATATCCACCGAGGTCTACAAAATTAATTTGTACGGTTTCGCGTTACGTATTCCGAGCGCGTTTATTTTTGAATATAATAATATTATATCTCGTCCGAGTCAGTGCAGTCGTGCCCGGGAATGTTCAATGACAAGGAACGTAGTAAATAATTAATAATAACCATCGTAGAATTTTCTTTTCTCGTAGCGTATCTACACATACAACCCGACACAATGAGAGTTTAGAAGCCAGATCTAAAAAAAAAAAAAATATCCAATTATTTGTGTTCAAGGAATCCAGTGTAAAGAATGACTGTTTGCTGAACATACGATAATTTCAAAATGAAATTACTGTATAAATTGTCATATTCGCTTTTTTTTTTTAAACCAATGGGAGATATAATCCCTCCCCACTCGCGACCTTCACTGGTTATCGATCTCGCGATTATTGAATACACGGGAGAGTTAAAAAGTCGTGTCAGTCGTGTGATTAACTTTTAACATTTGCAAACAAAAGGCATGGTTTTACTCTAACGTGTGCGTTTTTTTTTTTTCATGTCTGTGAACAAATTTTCTACCAGAAATCTTACTTCAATCAAAAGCTTTACGGGAACATTTTTGTATCATGTTTAATCTAATTGGTGCATTTCATTGGAATTTTTGTATTTTTCTTGTAGTTGTCTTAATAAATTAAAAAACTGGAAATTTTGTTTTGTACAATTTTTGTTTATTTCCGGGTCGAGTTGGCCACAACTGAAGAAATACGACCAACGATACTCCGCTCAGAGTCGTTTTTCATAAGCGCTAACTCGTTATTATTATTTTTGATTCCGAGTAAAGCGAGAGCTCTATTGGTTTTACTATGATGTGTGTTTTATATTTTTTTTTTCTGTCCGTAAAAAAATTGTCTCCTAGAAATCTTGTTCCAATCAAAACACGACAAGAGACCTTTTTTTATTACATTTTCGCTCTAGTTGGTACTTTGGAACGGTCGTTTTTTTGTAACTCTCATTTATGTTCGAAACAATGAGAAAAAACTCGTTTAAACATAATATGGTTTTCATTGGCCACCGTATTTTTTTTTTATCTATTTTCTGTTATTGTTGGCCCGGCGAAAACGCGCATTGGTTAAGAAACGACATTTATACTAGGTGTCGACCGATACTCCGCTCAGAATCGTTTTTGGTAAGCAACGGTTGCGTACGGATCTAAATCGAATTCCCTTCTACGTTATATCTTAACTTCCCGATGTTTCTCACGCGCAACAGTGGCCCGCCCGTGGTGTCGAGTATGTCCGTCCGTATTTTTCCGTTTGTTTTCCGTATCCACGATATTCACCAGAATTATTAACGTTCACCGGTAACTATACCGGCTGCCGTCCTCGGTTTCCGGACAATAGGTTATGCCGTTGTCTTTGCACGAACAACGAGCGATATAAAACAATAAAACAATAAATGTTATTAACGGCGCCGGCCTTTTCGCTCGGCCGCGGACTCGCAAAATAACTCGTTATTTTGCGGCGGACTCGCGCTCGGTTTCTCCGCCGTCGCGATAATATCATTGCATTCCTTCGGGCGTGTCGGACCGCCCGAGTTACCGCGATCGCGATAATAATATCGTCGTCGTCGCCGCGAGCCGTAAACAATAAAGACGTTACCGCTGCCGTTGTTATTTACCGCGTTCCGCGGAAGGAGCGTAATAACATTATAATAATATCAACACAATGCCCGTCTCGTACGCCTCTCTCCGTCATGACGCCCGGCGAACAGACACAAAAGGGCCCGCGAACGCACTTGGCCGACCGTTTCGAGTGCGAGTCGCGCGCAGTATTCGGGGCCGTCGCCGCGGCGTACGCTCTGTGTTCCGCGGCGCGCACGTTCGGCGGCGGCGGCGGCGGATTCTGAAATTTGACCGGCCCGGGAGAATTCCGTTTCACCGGCCCAATTATTGGTTTCGTTGTGTATTTGTTCTTGTTTTTACGCGGGGCCAATCATTGCCGGGCAACAGAAACGCGCTGGCTATCAGAATATCGGAAAACGCGCACCGAGTTTTCGCCTAGTTCTGACGAGTTCTTCCGAAGTCCTCGTCAGAATTCACATCCGTAGGGACCGTAGCATCCCGGTGGCGGTTTTCGGTAGGGCGATCGGGGTGATCGGTTAACAAGCGTATGTTATGTATGTTCTGTATGTGAGCAACGATAAACCGTTGCTAACGAAAAAACGATTCCGAGCGGAGTTCAGTTGATAGTGATGCTCTGTCGACAATATATACATATATATATATATGTATATATGTCATGTTATGGTAAAATAATTGAACGTGCATTATGCATTTTCTTTAATAATATTTATTTAATATTATACCGGTTTTCCCGTTTTTCCTGCGTTTTTCCCGTTTCTCGGCGGTAATAACGTAGAAAAACATTGTAGCGCGTACACGCACGGGTGTATTTCGGTATTCCTTCCGAGCGCATCGGACCGTCGCGGAGTAAAGGCATCCCGCCGTCGCACGGTCGTTTAATCATTTTTTTTTTTTTTTTAAGTCTTACGCAGGCCGTCCGTCGCGCGTTTCCCGACAGTACCGATTTCATCTGCCGTCGTAATGTTATGATACCTGTATCGGATCCGGGTAAAAATCCCGGCACCGAAATTTCGATTCCGACGGGATCGAAATCCCCGCAGTCACCCACCGTACAATATTGAAGAGGCTTTATTTATGTACTCTACTCTATTATAACGCAACGAGTTATTGAATGTATTGATTTTAATGTATTAATTATAAATTTAAAAAAATAAATAAATACATTTTTTTTTTTTTTTTACAAGCAGATAACCAGTATAATATTTAGGGGACATAATTAGGCGATCACTTACATAGTCTCAGGGGATGATTGTCGGGATTTCAACCCTGACGGGATTGTAACTGACGGGATTTCGGTGTCGGTTAGGTTAATTGTGACCCCTGTATCGCAGACGTCACTTGACGTAAAATCACGGCGTAGCGAGCGTCTCGACGAGTATTTTGAATTTAGTCGCGGTCTGTAACGAAACGAGGAAACAGTCGCGGTGGATCACCAACAAGCCAAGTGAAATTATTATTGTTCACATAGGAATTCGGTAGAAATATATCGAATACGCGTATAGAACTAGGGTTGAGTATTCTTAAGAACGTGGGCCGTTAGTGTAAAGTGCACAAATAAACGATTCGTCGATTACCCGGGTTCAGTTATTGATTTCAACTCACTATACGTCTGTATACACATAAATAAAAGTCTTTGGTGCCGAGCTAATGTATAACAGTATGCGCGATAAAATAATTATTTGAATTTCGGATATTGAAAAAAAAAAAAAAAAAAACGTCTGTTCGTGTAACTGATTGGGCCACACCGCGAGCAACGGGTTTCGGGGGGCGAATTATCAATCGAATTGTATATTTCGTATGGTGCTCGCGTTCTGCGGTTAATTGCGTTCGATTTTCACGAGACGTATTTGCTCGTCGTGGCGTAGCGTGGCTGTCGATTTGCGATCCCCCATGAAAATGTCGGGGTGGCGGCCGCTACCAACCGCTACCCGCGGTAACGGCGACCCGCCGACCTGTAAAACACACGCGCGTATACAGAACGATCGGCCGTACACCGCCGGACGACTGCAATTTATCGTGCCGTTATTGCAATATTACGTTATCGGTCCGGGGTCGTCGAACGTTGGCGCGCGAAACGTGTTTCAGTCGGATTCGAATAGCGACGGACGGACGGACGCATGTCATTATTATGTATTGCGGAGCGAAGCTATTAATATTACAATATTATAGTGCTTTTGCTTTGGTTAGCGAAAACGAACGTTTCCTATATGTTATTATTAGCGCTCGGGTTTTGTAGCGAAATAAATCAATCGATCAAAAATGGCATTTTGTGTAGCCCGCGAGAACAGAATTTTTTTTTAAATTCGATTCTAAAAAAAAAAAAAAAAAAAACAAATATTGTTTGGTCAAGTTATCTCCGTCGAAACCCGTCGTCCTGTTAGGCGCCAATACATTTTTTATACGCGGAAAATGATCTTTCCACGTCAACCGAAGTAATCGGCGCATATTCCGTAATATACACTGTATCATTTAAATCGCACTGTTCCACATTAGTGTCTGGTGCAGTGCCATTGTGAATGCTACAACGATAATTATTTCATCAGTTATCCATTTATTACCGGTTTCTCTGGTGGTTTTGTAATTAGTTTTTGACCATAATAATAATATAATCGAAATATAACATACATATTTTACTGTTAAATTTTCATGAAAATTACGTAAAAATTGAGAAAACAAACATACGGGGAAAAAAGCCAAAAACAAGTTTGCTGTGTTGAAATCAGAACGATTCAAAACGTATTTATACACGGGAATTATCATTCTATCGCGCTCCCATAAAAAAAAGAAGCATTTGCCACGAAATCCGAACCCTAGCTATTGTACTCTCGGATTGACTGGTATAAAATGTCTCCGATTCCGTTCTCGAACTATCGTTGTGACAGAAAACCGTTTAACCGTTTACTATTGCGGTGCGATACATTTACGAACAATAACGTTTAAAACGCACGCGTTACGATTAAAACCGCATTTGAAAGGGAGGAACACGTTTAAAACGGACAGGCTGTTGTTTAAAAAATGTGTTTTTTTATGCAACCCTGATTGCCTCTATATTATAGCCACGCGCTCGTGTAATTAATTTTCCGCTCGTTGTTATCACTGCAGTACTATTGTAATATTACGTAGTTTTATTATATTCGGCGGCGCCGACGGTATAATTACACACACACACACACACACATATACTCGAAGGTATATATGCACCCGACACATTTCTAATTTGTTTTTTCTTTTATTATGATTGCGTTTATTACGGCACAAGGCCGCCGTCGTAGTTGTTAAACACCGTTGCGTAAGACTGCGAGGAGAGTGTATATTTTTACATTGATAAACATTATTATTATTATTGTTACGGTTAACGACACACTCATCGCGTCCGTCAAACGACTAATTTTCTATCATTTTTGTTTGTTTTTTTTTTTTTTCTAAATAGCAAATTATACCGAAAAAAAAATTGAGATTTTTAACGTTGACAAATGGCCCTTCGGGTTATGGGATACCCGCCTAATTATCGAGTTTGCGCATCGAAAGCGACGACAAATCGTCGCGACCGTAAACGGCGGTATTAACGGAGCGCGGAACTCGGTAAACCGATAAAGTTTATCAGTCGCGAGTTGTTGCGCCCCACGCAGTCTGCACGGTAACTCAGCAATCGATAGCAATAAAACCGATGTAGAATATTTTCGTCGTTACAGTTTTTGGTTATTGAATTTCCCGGGTTTTTTTTTTTTCAATACCGAAGTACTACTATACCAAGCGGAAATTCCGCATCTTTTGAGGTACGCCGTGGAAAAAAAATCGGAACATTTTTTTTTTTCTAATCGAAAATATGACGGGCCCGAACCTAGTCACGCCGCCGCCGCCCGGTCATTATTCTCGTATTTTTCATACCAAACAGCCGTCGTCGCCGTTATTTTTTCACATTTTTCGAATTTAAATATGTACACGCTTTCACCCGGGAGACGAAGGTAATCTTAAGCTCGTATACAAGTGTATCGAACTATGCCTACTGCAGGCTCGTTTCACCCGTTTTCTCGAAATACCAAAAAAAACCGCCGCGAGACCACTCGGTCGCCGACCGGAGACCAATCGTCCGTCTAAAAGGTATTTGTTTTTTTCGGACACGCTTAATAAAATCTATATGATAAAATAGTCACGGATTCGTGTTAATGAAATTTCCACAGAGGGAGGCGGGAAGGAGATAGGGATTATAATCTCCCCCTCCCCATTTACTTAAAACTGCAAGCCGGGAAAGGAATATCTTTTAAATTCGTTACTTTAAAATGTAGTTATATTAAAAGCGTTTAGTAAATTATAATTTTTTTTTTTTTTTTTTTTTATTATTAATTGAATAAATTGGCTTTTTTTTGGATTGAAATTCGAATTGCTCAATGTCGGGTTGTGTCCACAACGCAGAAGAAAAAATTTCACGATTTATCCACGAATCGTAGGCGCATAATGCGTGTATAACAATATTATACGAGTACACTATATCAAATCCTTTCCAATCGACAGTTCCTGGCCGCGTCACCGTCCACGGGTGTGTAACTATCGCATACCGCACGTACTTAACACACGGAGATGATAACATCGTTTTTACGTACGCTCTGCGAGTATATTATATCCGTACGGCTTATTACTCGGTCCGTTCGCGGTCTTTCGTTTTATAATACACGCGTACGTGCGTCAGATCATAGCGCGTCGCGGGTATTCCGGACACGTGGTATTTTTCTTCTTCCTCCGATGAGTGTCCGATGGTAACGAACATTCTACTATAACGTTATAGGCACTTTTGAAACCCACGTCATTCGGTTTTGTAATACTTTCACCGCGAGCAGACGTAACCCGGTACTGTAATAATAGTATTCGAATAATATCCGTAACGTTATAAAAAGTGCGAGCGCGGCCTGCGCCCCGAACCGTACTCGCGTGTTTACTCGAAATAATACATGCAAAAAATAAAAAAAAACCGTCTATACCAGTCACCCGTAGTACGCGCCCCGTAGAGTTATAAGGCTAATAGTCGTAATATAATAATGACTCTCTAAATCGGTGTAGCTATGATTTTTTTTTTTTTTTTTTTTTTGGGGGGGGGGAGGGGGGAAACGTAAATAAAACGGAAACCGCGCTACCGTACTCTCCGGGACATTTTGAAAACGCATTTCCTCCTCCACACGATTTCGAATTGTTGAATAACCGAATGATCCGATAGTAAAACATCAGATGGCACGTAACGTTTTCCGCTTAACTAGTGTCGTTTTGATGTTTTGTTAACAATATCGTGCGACTCTTTGAAACACGAATTTCGTATACAGTCAAGAGGTAAAGTAAGGCGGCTCCACTGGATATTATATTCGCGGGACCGTTATGAATCTATACGACGCCGCCTCGGAATGAAAACATAGATTTTAGGGAGTGGGGGGGGGAATGAATAGTTACTATTATTTGTATACGTCTGCGCGGACGACCGTTTGCTATTTTATTTTAGATTCTGATTGGAGCGAAGAAGCTTATGGTTTTACATAGATGTTTTTTTTTTCTGTGAACAACTTTTCTACCAGAGATCTTGCTCCAATTTTCAAGCGTAGCACCTTTTATGAAAGGAAATCATTATGGGAAGGCACTTTCAGAGGGCCATTTTTTGATTTTCCCAAGATTTTTATAAATATATTATCAATAATTAACAATAGATTCACGTTTAATGTAGAAACGTATATTATAACCATTTAATAAGTAATATGTTGGCATCGGAATAGTTACAGATGGTGTTTTTTTTTTTTTTTTATACATATATATAATAACAAGGATACAATTAAATCAAGTAAGGTTACGAATCTTTGATTTTTTGAAATAGACTACTATAGCGCATCACGAACTATGATGGTTTCTCTTATATTCACTATTTAATTTAAATCTATTCAGTTATTTAAATTATTTGTTATCCATAAACGACAATTTTTTTTTAACGATTAATCCACTGTATTATTATACATTAAATAATTTCAAATGTATACTAGTCGAACCTTCATATGATGATTTATGTGTACATATACGAAATATATTTCGTTGATGGATGCGCCTTTGAGAACATTAACTGAACGTCTCACTCCTGCCAAATTAACATATATTTTATTATTGTTCGGTATAGAGCTAAATATACTGTACGAATTGTTACTACGCGTCGATATAATCTCGCGTAATTTATAAAGGCTAAAACTCAAAATACGAAGACGCATTGCTATAAGTTGTTCGCGTGTAAATTTCAGCTCGTGCGTTTTCGGTGGTTAATTTCAAATAACGTATGCTTGAGACTCTGGATAAAGTTTTACATTCTATACCATAGCACAAGTTATTGTACGATCGCAAAAGTGTAACCTGTAATTTAATCGTCAACATTTTCTTCTTTGTTATTCATCGTGAAGTTCGTAAACATATTATGTGGCCAACTGCACATTTTTGTATCCTTGAGCATTGAATAACGTTACCGCGACATTACCTATATACTTTCACTCATTTCACTTTCTAACGCGCGTAAATCAACACAGTCCGGTTCACGTGATAATATTATTATTATAGACATCGGCGCGGCGGCCCGTGTTTGGTTTGATGAAACCGTTGAAAATCGTTTTCCAGACAACAAAGATATTATTAATAATAATAATAAAAAAAAAACCGTAATACGTTTATGCATTACGTGGTCGTGATATTGTTGACAACGATTGTCAACGGAATGCGTTTGCGTACACCGATAACGCATGGTAGTGTAATGAAATCTAGGGGAAAAAAGCGATTGAAAAAAAAAAAACGGAAAAAAAAGGCAATGAAAGTAAAGCAAATGAAAAAAAGGCATATAGGCATTGAAAACAGCAATATACAGGTATAATTAATAAAAAATTAAATAGGTTACCAATGATTATTTACCTAATTAAATACAATAAGTCAATATACCTAAAACAAAAATTTAAAATTAAAAAATTAAACTAAAATAAAATAATTGTATTGCTAAATGGTAATGGTTAAATTCAAACCTAATCATTTGAATCATATAGTATGAGATATTGTTGATAAGTAAAAATATTATTTTTTAAATGTTGGTTAAAAGATTTTTTTTATTGCTTTTTTGTCGTTGCTTTTTTCAGTTGCAGTTGTTTCCCATTACCGGTGAAATGACGTCGAATAATCTAACGGTGAACACTGCATTGAATCAGCAAAACAGTGTTGAAAAAACGCGAATTATTTTCATTTGAAACGACTTGAAACAATACTTGAAAAATACGCTCAAAGCGATTCGAAACAAATTTATTATAAACCTCAATAGCCGTCGCGTAAAAAATAAATTGTCCCGCAAAGTTGTGCGCACAGCAACGTATTGATGTTCATAGCAAATAACTTGTTAAACGACACGATTTAGAAAAAAAAAAAAAAAAGACTAAAAACAAAAATAAATTTTATTTTGATAATTGTAAAATAAAATAAAATATCTAAAACTGTAATTAATTTAAAAAAAAAAAAAAAAAACTGACGGCGTTTAAAGCGAAAATATTTTGTTTTTTCCCGTGCCTTGTGGCCGCGCAGATTATTTTCAGAGATTTATTTTTAGGAATATGCGTGTTTGGCTGTCTTGTACCCATGCAGTTGTGCGTTTTATCCCACGCCTATAAAAATACAGTTTTTACAAACAATATCTGTCCCACTGGTAATTATTATCTGGCATTAGCGATTGATTTGATATAATATATATATATATTATTAAAGTTGATAATTAAAATTTTTTTTTTTTTAAATTTATAAAAAGTAACTTTCATTACACGAATGCCACGTACACGCGCTATTTACTTGTCGTAAATTATAAAACCTGTTTGGTTATTACGGTAAACGCCGGCGAACGCGCACAGCTCAGACCGATTAACCATCGCGCGCACACCATTCAACTGTACCGCAGGAACGATTGAGCTTAATATTGCGTTAATTAAACTAATTAAACGTCGTGACACAATGGCTAAGGTACCGAAATAAACGTTCGGTAAAATGGATTTCAGCGGACGCGTCTCGAGGTCTTTTCAAATCAACAATATAATTATGATTCAAATGTCATGCAGTGAAAGGCGGGTGAATTACATTGTAAGAAGCGTTAGACGCGGAAAATAAATGCGAACACCGAAATTTATTTCGACTAAAAGCGTCATCTATTTACGGGATTGTCAATGCAGGTCGGTATTTGTAAAACGAAAATCTGTTGCGGTTACATCGCCAAAAATAAGGGCGGGTCATAAACGCAACGGTAATGTAACGTTGTAGAGCTGCCGACGTTCCATGAGTTGTCCTCGGAAAAAAAAAAAAAAAATTCCCGGATAAAAAGCACTCTGTACATGAGTATACGGTAATTAATTGCATTGCTGTGTTACCTATATGCGGCTGTAATATTTCAGATTTTCTTCTACGACACAATTTTCGTTGGACATTCGCTCGGTTACCGGCCGCCGTATGGTATACGAGTGTTGAGTATAAACATTCCAGAGGGGAAAATATTAATTCGGAAGCAAACGAGAGATAGCGCATTCCCGTAGAAAAAAAATAATCGTTTTAGTGTTTTGGTCGTTTTAAATCCAATGTCGATAAAAGTATATTATTCTCAGCGGATTTCGGGAGCCGTTCGCTTTTGGTTTTATAATAACTTATTTCGCGTCGAATATGACGCATTTTTTCTCGCGGAAATCTTGTCCGGGTCGTGTTTTTAAATTTAAAACAATAATGATTTTTAACCAATAATCGTCAACCCGCGGCGGCGTCCCCACCGATTTACTATCCGGTTTAACGCTACCTAATTAAACTAATCGTATTTACTTTTTCTCTGATACGTGTTGATTAATTAAATACAATTAACGCCGCGCACACCGTGGCGATTCAAATGGTTTTTAGTTAATCGGATAAATTGTAACATAATTGTATTGTATTTTTACGCGGAAACGCATCGGCGGGTTCGTGTTCTCGTCGGTATACCGAACGAAAACAATGCGTTTTAACGTAAAAAAAGTTTGGTTGATTTTGAATTTTTTTTTTTTTAATATACCCGCCTACCTTACCTATCACATAATATCACACGGGTAGATAATAAAATCGTTTAAAACGTAGGTACGCGCTCAAAATTTCGAAAAATATTGTAAACCCGTTACAAGTACCAAAGGTACGCCCGCCCGATTATACGGGAACATTTATACGATTATTATTATTGTAATCGAACGCCATTTTCTATGCTTATTTTTTTTAATTTTTTTTTTTTGGGTTCTAAGTGGAGCGAAAAACCCATTGGTTTTAACAATACGAACGTGACGTGTGATTTCCTATATTATTTGTGTTGTACATGTAAACGAATTTTGTGCCGGAAATCTGACTCCAATAAAAAAAAAAAAAAAACAAAAATGACAAGACACTGTTTGGTCGCGTTTTAGATTTAGTTGGTGCATCGAGGAGGTCGTTTTTCGATTTACCAAACGGTTACCGCAACGATCGGGGAAAAAAGGAAAAGTTTATGACAATAACGGTTTGATTATTTTCAATTTTCTTTTTCTCTTTTTTTTTTTTTTTGTAATTCGGTTAAAAATAATCGTCAAGACCTGAAATTTTTACAAAATATTAGCTTTTTTTATACGCGGTTACATTTTTTAAAACATTCTAACGGTTTATAAGATATTTACAATGATTTGAAATTGTCAAGGTTTTTTTTTTTTAATTCTTTTTTTTTGTTTGTTTAATTATACGTATAAAATAATTGTTTGGCCAAACATAAATGCTTGACGATTCGAAGCGAATTGTAAATTTAATTAAATGGTTACAAAAATAAAAGATAAGCGTAACGAAGTGGTTTATTTTTATGAGCATTTTATGATCACATTTGCATGAAAATTGTAAATATCATGGCATTTTAAAACACGTAAACCGAACTTTATTCAGAAACGTATTTCGTTAGGAATAGTTTATCGTTATGTACAGATCGAAATTAAATAACTCTATGTATTCGACCTTTTAAATTTATCACCTACGTCCATCAGCAGTATCAGCTCTTTTATTTTTTTATACGTTAAGATTTTACTTTTATGTTTCGATGAAATACATTTCGTCTTTGGTAAAATTAAATTAATAGCCAACATAATATTATCGTTAGCATTTTAACACGAACACCTGATGAATGGAATGACAGCACGTAGACAACGGTTTATGTAATGTTCTTACTTCCTCTTCAAACTTCCGCTTAATCGAAACGATTATTCTCCTATACGCAGTTAGGTAAATATTAGAACCCCTTCGCGCCGTACCCGTTCCTCATATTTGTTCCTTTTCACATCCCTCGTCTTCCTGCTGACTTCCTTGGAAACGAGCCCACGCACCGTGTCCCTCGTTCCGCCGACTTCGACCCCCTCGTTCGCTTTATAGACCCGTTTATTTGTATACAATAACAAATGTAATACATATCTCGCGTCGTCGCCGTGCGTTGTTAACCAGACATACGGTTGTTGAATGGGAACTGTCGTCCGTTTGTACGGAAAAAAATACAAATAAATTTAACCCGCGTGCAAACAAATCGGGCACGTGCCCAACCGATAAAACGCGAGTGTGCATTGCGCAATAACGAAATAGAAAACGTTTTATAACATAAATTATCGAAACAATGTTTGTCCGTCAGACGGCGCGCTCTACAAACACGACGATCGCTATCGGCCGGCCGTGATTATCCTGTTCGGCCATAATTATTACGGTCATAAGTGCAACGAACGCGCGTTATTCCGCCGGTAATTTTTAATTTTCGTCGGGCAAACCGGGCATCCAATTAAATCGACGTGGATCACGATTTTTTAAAAATAATAATATGCAACACGCGAAAGTACGGGCAACTAAGTATACGCGATTAGAGATCGTACAAGCAGATTACCTATTACTGGCTGTACCGTCAATACCGTGCGGGTTACGCATTTTCTAACGCTGTACACAGTTACATTGGTATTAACAAGTGTATTTGTTATAATTTATGACCGCACGCTGTAAAACAACTCGTGAATTACCGATCACAGATAACCACCTATAATACAATAATAAAACAATGCGTAAATTCAACGCGCATTTCAGAAATCATTTTTTAATTCTTAATTTGTACACTCTACGAACAGTCGGAATTGAATTCAATGTAAACCGAACACTATTCGCATATTTATGCAAACGGATTCCACCGGTTACCGGTCTTTTAAGGCCGCTACGAATCGGTTTCCGAGCTGTTATTTCGGAAAATATAGAATAATTTAACCGGGTTTTTAATCACTGTTTAGTTCCTACCACGGTCATCTACACAGGCAGGCCTAAGGAGTGTTATCGCTGTCGTAGCGGCGTTTGTGTGAACTATTAACGCTAGTAGTTAACGACCCGATTTCAACATGTATATGTTCTATTTGACACGCGATTGTTCAATCTATAATTTAGGTGCTTAGTTTTTTTTTTTTTTTTATGTTTCATGTAATTATTTATGCGAAAAATATGAAAAACTATCATTTTCCCAATGATTTACGTGTCAAAATCGGGTCTTCGACTGCTAGCCTATAGTTCACACAAACAGCACTTCGACAGATCGAGTGTACGGGCGGTATAGCCGCGTGCTCCAACCCGTATAGATAACCGTGGTTCCTACGTAAAGATGTGATATAAGTTTATCGGGGTCGAGTCGCGTCTATTTTAGGTGCACACCTAGAAGAACTGTGCCATCGTTATTCTCTTTTATACAACTATCTTTTTTCTTGTTTTTTTTTTTTTATTCAACATCATATTATCGGTGTGCGGTTCACGGTTTTAGTTTTCCAAAGATAATTTCATATTACAATAATATTATAAAACGCGTAGCTACCGACTGGAATCGAAAAAAACCCGTATAGTCGCTGTTTGAAAATCAAAATCGTTACGTTTATTAAACGTTAGAGGTAAACGTTTCCTAAAAACGTATACTAAAAAAAAATAAAAAAAAAATTTAAAAACGCGTATGCGATACGAAAAACGAAGAAGAAACAGCATCACGGGGGTAACCCGGTACAAGGATTTTACACAGATAGAAAATCCGCCCGTGCCGGAGTGATCGAATCAAAAAATTAAATTTAAAAAAAAACCGTGACAAATATATAACCAGCATAAACTTTATGTATTTATCATATTGTATTTTATATTTATAAACCGATTTCTGCTTGATATTTGACTCGGCGTACGCACGGGAGAAACGTTTAAAGAAATTGTCGATTTAAATTTAAATGTTTAAATCGTATTTCTAGGACCTATGGATAAAAAAAAAACGCAATTTACTTTTTTATTTATTACGGTACCTATCGTGTTCTCCGTAGGCCCGAATAATAATTTTTTATTTATAACATACGGGATTCACGCTCGCTTCATATTAATACGGTGATCAGGTTCGTGTTTGCGTTTATATGTAGAGCTTTCATATTATGCACAAGACCCAAACCAGGTGGGATAAGAGGCCTGCAGCTCCCCCCCTCATCGATATGAAAGTCGCTGCAAATGTCTTAAATTGTTATCTTTGTTTTGTTATCTTATCGTATAGTTTACGGACGAAAATTTGTCAGTATTCAATATTCGAGTGCGCACCGTAGCAGAGTAATAATACGATTGTTTTTTATTCCGACTACACACACACGCATAGAAGTTCGCCCGTCCGCCAAAAAGAATAATCCTGGCTACGTCACCCTGTATAATATTGTATAGATAATAACATTTAAAAAGCAAAGTATATACTAGTATGATATAATGTTATGCTACATCAACAGGAGAGTAGCCCGCGGTGCCGCGCGACCGAAAAAAATAAGGGACAAAATAATGCACTTTTGGTGTAACGCCCGATTAAAAAAAAAAAATCGCGAAACTCCAGAGAGCCTCCGGTCACCTGCGGATCTACGCGTTTCGTGATTTTTACATTCTAAAGACTTCAAATTTTCAAATCATTTACAATTTCTATAATATTATTAAACACAGAGGTCGCTGTACTTATTTTAACCTTTAATGAAATACGATAATTGTTATAAACAAATATATTTGTTATTATTTTTATTTTTTAATTCTGAGTAGGCATAACGAAAAAACTATTAGTTTTACATGGATGTATTTTTTTTTTCTCAGCGCTTGAACGTTTTGTAAAAACGCTCAGATTTCGTTCACGTCACCTATGAGAAAAAGATACGGATTTTTCGTTTGATGGTAGATACTTCGTTGAAGATTAATTTGAAACTCTCCACACTTTTTCCGGAAACTTGCGTTTTATGGAGTTTTCTTGTGGTTTTTTTTTTATAGTGTCGTTTGATTTTTAAAATCTCTCCGATTTGTTCACGCGGTACCTTAATAGATGTGATTCAACTTATATATTTCAGCCAACTTACATTTATCATTATAAATACGTTTTATAGAATGAAAATTGGACTTTTGGATCCGCGGCTTTTGAATTGTCCGATTAAAAAAAAGCGACTGGGAAATTATTTATTCGAGATAATGATTAATTATCACATCGCATCATTGAAAATTCCTGAACACTCCGCCGAGTAAACTAAACCGCTCTGTATATTATATCCTACCTTCCGATGACTACCGGCACCTGTATCAGTGGCCTACTACTACTCATGGTGCGAAGTGTGTTCAGTTCTTTTAAATATCTTCAACGAAAAACGCGTGTACAAAATACACAGCTGTTTTTTTCTTCCCTGCAATCCGAACGGCGTTATATTTATCGCTCTGATATCGTTTAGAAATCGCGAGTCAATATACCCGATAATAATGTAAATATTGTTATCGTTATGCTGATGAAAACGACGGTCGGTTTAGTTAATTCGCCTATTTCCCGTCGAGACCAAATCAATTATTACAATAGTATTTGGGTGCATTCGAAACGCGCAGCCAAAGCGATTCGAATGTTATTACAACGTAGGTATGTACATTTTAAGTGGCTGTTTTCGTTAAAAAATCGGTTTTGACGAGCTGTTTCATTGAGAAACCCGTTTACATTGAAAGTTAGTTTCAAATTTCTCTTTTTACGGGCGCGCGCGCGTGTGTGTGTGTGTTTTTTTAACGTAGATCAAATCATCATTATTATTAAGGACCTATCTTCGCCGCGGCAGGCAGTACACGCAATCTGCATAATATGCAGGTACCCCACTGGCCAGCGAAACACGAATGCCGAAACCGTGAAAGTTGTATTTTGAAGCAATTCGGGAAAAAATAAAAACAGATTAATATACAGGTATATTTTAATATTATATTACAATGATACAAATATATTTTTATTGGATCAATAAATTCTCAAACACGTTATGTTATAATAGCCAATAGGTTGGGTTTTTTTTTTTTTTTGTTTTCGGTCTATTAAAGTAACGTTTTTTACACCCGTTGCATAAATTAACGCGTGAAAGCTTACGGGAACATGAATTATTGAAGTTTGTCGCCTCGCGTTCCAACGTATAATATTATTTTTCAGGAGAAAAAAAAAATAGAAATTTTACACTATAAAACGCCGTTTTCTCAAACTGGTAACACGGTCGAAACCAGTTTCTCCTCCTCACGAACATCGACGCGATTAGAAATTACAGTGGCTGCCCGATAGTAAAGGTATTACACTAAACCGTATAATCACATGACGGGTGTATCACGAGGATTCGACATATTATTTCAATGTAAAATTATCGAATTCCCATGATGACACAGTACTCCGTGTATGCGTAATTTATTATGCCATCTCGATAACATTATATCATTCCGTAAAATATTATCGAACCCTTCATTATAATATATCGCGACTGTTCGACGCCAGACAATGCGCGATTATTATTTAAGTATTTGACGGACAGTCAAGAATTTGCATCCGTACAGCAAATTCTACTTTTCCGCGAAATAATATGCGGACCGCAGTGACTTGTAGTACACAAAAATCGACTAATGCGTGAGAATCCTTACGTGGTAAATATAATTCGTATTTTATGCCAAAACGCCTGGATATTTACTATACATTTTCAGATGTATTAAAAATAATCCAAAGTGATATCTATATTTGAATACGGTCCTCTACAAAAGAAAAAAGTAAAAAGAAAAAAAAAAAAGACGTCCTAGGATAACGGGGACGGGCGCAACGACTGTCATAGGTAATTTAATGTGTTTTTCAGTTAGCAACGATTAACCATTGCTAATGAAAAAAACATTTTTGAGCGGGTTCGGCTGAATATCGTCATATCGCGGTAAAATAATTACATGTAGGCAATAGACATTTTCCTTAAAAATATTTGTTCAACATTGTACCTATTTTACCGTTTTTCTCGGATTTTCCGTTCATTGGGAAAACAAATGAGAAAATCAAATAAACGACCTTAATTAAAGTACACCGATTTCCTTTCGGAAAAGGCGCTACACTCAAAAATCGGAGAAAGATTTCTGGTAGAAAATTGAAATTATATAATTAATAAAAAATTATATCTATGTTTTGTACTTTTTTTCATACCTGATGTACCGATCCATTTCGTGTCGGATTGCTATAATACATCATGTATGATTTTTTTAGTGTATAGTATTTAACCTAGTAATTATAACCTATTTAAATTCGAGTAACCTGTTTTCGAAAAAAACGTACGGTAGGCGATTCGAGTGTGCCCGAACTGAGACCGCTCCGCTGGAATGCAATTCATAAAATGTATAAATAGTCTTCGCAATAACATTATTTTATAATTACAAATGTAGGAGATCTTTGAGTTTTCTATTGATTTTTTTTTTTAATGATAATCCGTTATGAAATAATAATATTATAAAACATTCAAATGTTATTGTGACATCTGACGGTAGTTTTCGCAAGCAGAGATCTCCCGAGTTGTCGATCGCTAGAGAGCGCTGCCGCATTCGTTCATCCTTTTTCTGTTTAATATTAATATTTTTATTATTGTTATTATTATGATACTTGTCGTCACGAGAGAGTGCCACGATATTCGAATAGCGTAAAAAGTTTTTTTTTTTTATTAATATCGATCGACGACTGACAATGATGTGCGCTGGATAGATCTGTATTCTGCAAAACATCGAATCACCTTATTATTATTGTATGTAAGACGACAATTTTGTTTCAAACGCTTCTTCCGGGGAGAAAACGAAACCGTAATGACTTATTGTACTGTAGTTTTGTTATTAACGAAGTAAACAAAGCGATTGAGAATCGAGCTATTTTTACTTGTAATAGATAATAGGTATGATACTAGTATAGTATTTCAATTTCAACGTTAACTTATACGATTTTATAAAATCCACTTCTTTGAGGCCTACATTTTATATTTTTGGTCTGGGTTTTGCTTTTTTTGTTCTATTTTTTACATTATTTCCGAGATTTTCACCTTAAACCGTGTATTTTAACATTATGATCGCCGTTAAACGTTTTCCGAAAGTCCACCTATTGTCGGTAGACTTTACCCAGTTTGAAAAAAAAAAAAAACAACGTGTCTATCTTTTTAAAAATTTATATTATAATAAAAAGTGTATAGACGGCAGTATAGGAATGTAGACAAACCTTAGAATACTTAACCCCATTCGGTATCTCTTAAAATGTGTTCACATCGATACATTCGATACTCAAGACGGACATACCGAAATCGAGGTGCGACGTTTCGTTATCGATTTCGATATTTTATCATGTTAAATTTGAACGGTTAAAACGACAAGCGACAACGATTAAGTATTAGATGAATTATAGTTGAACTCTCATAAGGGCAATCGAAAAAAAAAAAAAACCATCATCAAAATATTTGTATGCGGACGCATCAGCCCGAGATCTGTTTATAAAGAATATAAAGACGCCCGGCGCAACTTACCGCTGTTGACCCTACCCATGTTGAAATATAATAGTATTTTTTTTTCGTTTTAAAAACGTTGCGAATATTATAATAAATTATAGGTCGTCGATTCGACAAGTGTTTTAGAATTTGAGAGAAGAAACGTATGGTTATTTTTTTTTTATTTTATCTGTGCGCAACTTTTCTACCAGAAAACTTACTCCGATTTTCATGCGTAGCGCTCTTTGTGAAAGGAAATGTGACTGGGAAGGTATTTTAAAGAGGTCATTTTTCAATTTTCCCAAGAGTTTTCCAGCAAATATGAAAAACCGGGAAAAACGGGAAAATTTGTACATTTAGCAAATTTAAGTCTGAATCTACTTCATACTGATGGTCGAAAGTGGATAACTCAACTCACCCTCTTTTACACAATAATATTTATGTTATCTCATAATAATCTTTCTCTTAACTATTTAATAATAATATAAGATTACCGTTCATTCTCATTTTTTAAGAATTTTAATTTTAATTTTACAGTGACATAATCCCATTTTCAAAAAAATGACTTCACCCTTTTATCCGGAGGCCGTCGAAAATTAAAATATAGTCGAGATTATTGTAACTACAGTATTCGATTTTTTTTTTTTTTTTTTTGTTGCAATTTTTTATTTTATTACGATTTTCAAAGAGCTACCTATATTTAAAATTACACAAACAGACGGAATACCAGTTGATCTCGATTTCGGTGTTGACATTTCCGATTCACGTCAAACCAAGACATTACACTTTTAAGTTTTCGGCAGGGAACGAGTAACGGTGCGTCTCATATTATTTTGTACGTCATCCGGGCGCACGACTCCACCACTGCACCTCTAACTAATCTTTAAAGTGAAAATAGTGATATTTTCCGGGCTTTTTTTTGTCGACGGTTCAATTTTCAAACCAGTTACAAATATTCGAAATAATTTGAATTTAAAAAAACCACCGTATCTCGCTTAAAAACTGAAATATCGAGAAAAAACCCACTGCAAAATACAAACCTTACCCTTGAGGTTTGATAATGCGTCCGGACGTTCGTACTAACCGCACAGAACGAACAAAAAGTTGGGTAATTTCATCGGCGGGGCGTAAAATATACGTCGCATTATAAAGTAGACGATAAATATTATGCGACGCTCGGCGATATCATTCGGAGAAATTGTCCACCGCGCAAATAATTTGCCGTTCAATCCATAAAACAGGAGCGATATTATGGCGAAATGCGTTTTTTTTCATCAGAAAAAAAAATGACGTTCGACAGGACGCGTCGGATTTTCGAAAATTATACTTCTCGACGCTACAATAACGTAAGGGTTCGATCACACACGAATATCGACGGCAAATTTTAACCGTTTTAATTGAGTATTTTTTTTTGTATTGTCATTTTCAACCAAAGTCTACGGGGTTTTATGCTCACCGACGGAAAACAAACGGTCGAAATACGGACCGTTCTGTGAGACGAGCAGTGCGAGTTTTTCCACGCAAACCACCGCGTTTCGAGAACGAAAACAACGGGCCACAACACTCTCGGCTCAAGACTAATATATTGAACCGTTTGTTGAGAACCGTTTAGACTTGTCATCGCGCCCTGTTGTATCATTATCCTTTTCAAACGGACGGTTTGGTAAATTTCGATTTAAAATCGCATATCGAATGTAGGCGTACGCGGAATGAAAAATAAATTATTCAACACAACACCGTAGTCCGGACATGGGTTTAAAAAGTGTTTTATTCCCTTTGAAAATTTACGCGCGTTTCCCCCGTCTCGTTTTGAATTGTTTAACGCTCTACAGTCTACACTGCCATATAATAAGGCGCGTGCTTAATGTTTTTTTTTTTTTTCGAAAATCGTTTTTTCGGTCAGTTGAAAATTCTGAACAATTTCCACCGGAGTCGCCGAATGTAGGCGTATTTTTTTTTAAAATTTTTTTTTGTCTCTATTATTAACTAAACGCGATCTGTAAAACGGTATCGGTTTTTAATAACTCGTTCACGGCCTTCCAGTAACGGCGACGTTCCCGTAACAAAATACGACCGCGTCGCTCACGTTACGAACCACTTTCGCCCGTACAGTTTCGCGCGACCTTCGGTTGCGATAAAATGCACCGGGCGACTCGTTTGCCGGTGTCGTTATGCGCGCGGCGCACGGACACGTCATAATAACATTGTTGCGATTTCGTTTGATTTCAGGCGATGGCGGTATTGCTGGTGCTCGGTTCGGTGGCGCGCGGTTTCCCGCTGGACGGGCCGCAACTCGATTCCGCGGTGGAAGGCGTACAGAAGTACCTGGAGTCGTCCGGGTTCCCGAAAATGACCCGCGGCGAAATTCTGGACTTCCTCAGCGACTTTTCGCGCAGTTCCCGCGTGAGCCGCTCGGACAACACCGCGGACCCGGGCAAAAGTCCGCGGGACAACGCGGTCGCGCTGCCGCAGCCCGACTACGGGTTCGCGTCCACGACGACGGCGGCGAAAAGCGCCGCGGCCACCGCGGCCAAGAGTAAAACGTCCTCGTCCGCGGCGAAAACCGCACCGGTCTACGAATCGCCGCTGGCCTACGGATACCCGCTGAGTTCGAAAACGCAGACGGTCCGACCGACGACGACGACAACGGCGGCGCCCGCGGTCACGGCTCCGACGATATTCGTGACGGTGCCCGAGCCGACCGCCGGCAACGGCGGCAAAAAGAACGAAATCGCGAAGCAGGCGATCGGCGGCGGCGGCGGCGGCAGCAGAAACGGTGGCCAAAAAAAGAGCGTCGTCCCGTCGGTCGACCTGAACGCCTACACAAAGTTCAAGAAAATTCCCGAGGCCCGGGAATTGAAAATCGACGACGACATGAGAGTGTTCCTCGGCGGATTCGGGCTGTTGGAGCCCTCGTCGCCGAAATCGGGTAAATCGATCGGGATGGGCCCCGCGGTCAACGGAACCGCGCAGAGACGCGCCGACATAGACGACGTCGACAACGCCGCGGCGGCCGCCAACACGGTGGACCAGGTGTTGTTGGAGTCCGTGTTGGCGGAAACCGGTAACGGCGAAGTGAACGCTTCCCAGCTGCTGGATAGAGTGTCGTCCACCAGAGACCACGTGTTCAACCCGTCCGATTCCAACGTCAAGACCGTGGACGTCAACAGGATAGCGAAAATCGTTGAAAACATACGGCTGTTGACCGACGGCGACAACGGGACCGTGCCGTTGCCGCCGGACTTTATCCAAAAGAAGATCGAAAACATTACCGCGTCCATAGCGGACATCGACAAGCCCGCGGGCACCGCCGCGGCCGGCGACGCCAAAGCCTTCAACGGATACGAGGTGTTTTTCGACGACGAATCCAAGGAGATCGATTCGGACCTGCCCGAGTCGCCGGCCGCCGGCGCCGCCGCCGGTTCGCAGACCGACGACGAGTCGCCTTTGAACCAGGCGATTGACCAGCCGGATCCGCTGTCCACCGACGAACTCCAGCAGCTGTTAGAGAAGACCAAAACCGACGTGAAACGCCAAGAACCCAAGCTGGACGAGACGGTCGCTTCGTCCACGGCGGCCGCCGCGACCGCCGAGCCGGTGTCCGTCACGTCTACCGAGGCGGCGGCGACGGCCGCGGTCACCGCGGACTCGTCTTCAGAGGCCACGTCCACGGTGGAGGTGACGTCCGACGGCGGCGACGCGGCCAGGGGTTCATCCCCGCAGTCCGCGGCCGACGCGAGCCCGAGCCTCTCGCAGCTGGCCGAATCGTTTGGCGGCGGCGAGACGGCCAGCGAGCCGCCCGCTCTCACCGACGTTGCCGAAGTGCCCGCCAACCGGCCGCGGAACGGTTTGTACTTTTACGTGGACTGGAACTCGTTCTTGACGGTCAACGAGGGCCAGAAGAACCAAGTGAACCTGAGGTTCGCTCCGAAAGCCGGCAACCCGGCGCATTTCCTCAGAGTGGCCGTGCCGTAACGCCCGCCGCCGTCGCAGGACCGCCATTAAATTATTCGTCTAGTTTTACGGTTTTTTTTTTTCGTGTGTGTTTTTTTTTCGTCGGCGACCGCGTCGATCTTCCCTAGCGCGGACGTCGTCGGAAAAACATCGCGTCATTGTATCGATACGGCTTTGTACAATATTTATTATATCCGTTATACTATTGTAATTATTGTGTATGTAAATATATAGAAAATATTATATAGTTTTACTACTTGGACTTTGGTTTTCGAGTTAAAAAAAAAAAAAAAAAAAAGCACACGATTGCGACGTGTGCGTTCGAGTGCCCGTCGTACGGATCCGCGGTAAAATACCCAGACGCCACTCGAAAAATTTCCTTTTGAAATTTCGCCGCGTGCCCGCCTACCTACGAACGCGCGCGCTAAAAAAAAAAAATCGAGCCCGCCGAACGCGTTGCCCGTACAATAAGTGCTAACCCTCCATTAAAAATGTTTCCTCAATTCGCCCCTCGGGGTTCAAAACGCCCCGCCCCTATCCCAGCGTACGCGGCGTGCGGCGAATAACGATTTTTTTTTTTTTTCCCCCCATATTTTCTATACGGACCCGCGATAATTATTATTACGTTCGCGTTTAATAATAATAATAATAATAACGTCTCTAATGAGATTGAATAATAAATGCCGTGTCTGCGGCAGTGGCGGCAGGTCTCTCGCCGCAGCACGGCTGCCGCGGGTATAACACGTTCGCCGAACCCGGCAGGGGTCGAGCGAACGCGTTAAATCATCGCGCTTACGGGGAGGTAATCTAGGGGCACCGGGCCGCAGAGCAATCCGTTTAGTCTGTTTAGTCTGTCGCGCCCATTTTCGGCTAAACAATTCCAAAATTAACCTGAACAATAAACTGTTACCCTACAAAACCCTCCTGAAGCCTATTTGGGCCAACGGTATCCCGTTGTGGGGTGCGGAAAAACATCCGACATTTACAAAAGGCAAACGTTTCACTCTGATATCAGTTCGTGTAATTAGTAACGCACTCTCATATGTATCGTACCTGCGTACACCACACTCTGATCTTGGACTACAGACTGCCGCCGAAGTGGCTATACATCCTCTTACACCCGTTTCCGGTCTTGCCTCTTACAAACCACCAGAATCCACTTATCCTTGCACTTAACTCAGTAAACATTCCTGAGAATCCGCTGAGAACACTTAAGAGGCGCTCATGTCGTATTATATGGCTTTACTAAACTGATATACACAATAATGAAAAAAAAATACATACTCATAATATTTGTACATAAAATTGCCTAACAATTTATCGCGTCTGAGTGTTACTGCTGGCTACTAGCTAATTTCCTCAAGCTTCCAGGTAATGTATATTATTATTTGTTCAGCTTAGATTATGTTTATTGTAACCTTTATTACAGACTGTATACGTTCTAATAAATGTTTTAAAAAAACTCTATTTTAGGGGTACCAAAAAACGATTAAATTTGAACGCGGTGAAACTCTTGACGAATTATTTTGTGAGCGATTATATGTTATTGTACACAGTTACGTCGGATCGAGCGATTACGGGAATATCCGGAGTGCCATCTATTTCGATAGTTATTTAAAAACTGATACACTTAATAATTGATAAACTGATGAGCGGGGAAACGACATTTCTTTTCGCGTAGTATAACTATAAGTTTGTGAACGAGCGTAGCGCCGTAATTTTCAAAAAAATAAGTAAAATTTGTAATGCGTTCACCGCGCAATCGAATTTAAATTCTATAAGTAGGTACTCTGAAGACCACGTGTGCGGGCCCGGCTCAAGGGGTACGCGACATAGGCTCAGGCATAGAGCGACATTTTTAAGGGGTGGCATTTAATACTTTTGACGTACTTTTTATAAGACGTATTTCAGCGTGGGAGGGAAAACTTAAGTTCGCCTAGGTTCGTTCAAACGCTCGAGGCGTGCCTGGCTATATTGTGTTCCGTGTCCATTCTATAATGCTCAGCCAACCGTTACGGGTGTAACAAACAATGATTGATAATGAAATAACCGAATATTTTTGGGAACGTAAACCGGTTCATCTCCTCGCTCTGCACCACGGGTAACACTGAATCAACTGGGGCGCATTTGCGCATGATATTCTATCCCGGGATGTCCTCGGAACATTGAAAAAGTGTCATTTCGGAACGCACTCGGCGAGCACCCGTCGGAACGTTTTCCGGGGTGGACGAGGCGTCCTTCAGATTATATTCGGCCAGACGGTTCAGTACACGTAATATTATAAACAAATCGAATATTTGTTTTTTTTGTAAAAATAACGATACGACAACGATGAGAAACGTGCGGTTCGCGGTATAAGTATTGACGCTATATTGGTATACCACTATCACGGCTGTAATCTATTTCGTGACTACGGTTATACCACAGTTATTACAGACGATAATAATACCTCGCGCACATCTCAACAATATAATAATTGTGTGTATGCGTGTGAAATATGCACGTTTTTTTTTTTTTTTCCTCGGCAGTAGGACCGTGTGTAGGAAGTTATGCGCGACACTTATGCAGTGCACCCGTTCAAAATTGTTGAAACCCGCAGGCGTCTAGCGCTTTCTGAATTTCGATTTTCCGACCAAAATATTATATTTACTTGTACGATTACGTTACTCGGGTTATTTCCGGCGTAATTTGATTTGGATTTTCACAATACATAAGAGTCCGAAAAAAAATTGACGTTAATTTAAAATACGTTTATATGGATCGAGATACTGTGATCGAGTTTGAACATTATAGAAAACACGCACGGAATAATTTTAAAGACATCTTTTTTAACGACCTAAAATATCGTTGACGTTAATATTATTATATAAATACACGAAGAAAATTACTAAAAGACAAGTTCGTAGAACACACGTGCAAACTAATAATAATGAAGAATTGCATATTTTCGTTAGTATATTTTCGCATATCGGTTTTCACTCCATCATATCCTTAGACACTTTTATAAGTCAATTAAAATCCAGATTTAATAATCGTGTTTACATTTTATTGAGTTTTCCTTCACTTTTCGACGAAAATTCTACAAGAGAAAAATTCAACAAATTATCCGAATTGAATAAACAATACAATATATTTAATTGAATTCCCTCCGAAAAATTCTTATGGACGTAATTTGTACAAATGACTATAGCTTATAATAGTATTGTATATAAACTACTCCAACAAGTCTACGGAAATTCTCTCAACTAGCCGGTACTTGGAATTTTGATGCCCCGGGGCAAAATATTTAGTTACAACACGTTCGGGCATTTTACCTAAAATTGCGGTTTGTTTGGGTACTGTTTTATTCTGATATTACAACAAGTTTGGGCACTATAGTTTACACTATATCTACTATATAGGTACACTATATACAATAGTATAAAGTATATAGTTAATAAATGTATGCATACTATACATTATATAGGACTTTATAAGCAATTTTAGATTCTGAGTGGAGCGAAGAAAACTTTGGTATGGTGTTTATTTTTTTTTCCGTGGACGATTTTTCTACAGAGATCTTGCTCCGATTTTTAAGTTTAGCAGCTTTTTTAAAAAAAAAAAAACCTGTATGGGGAAGTATTTTAGGGATTTTGAGTGCCTAAACGTTATGTAGATTTCGAATACGGTACAAGTAAAAGTGCCCAAACGTGCTGCACCGTTATATTTTAGCTACACTCCCTATAAAACGTAAGATGATATAAATATTTTATTGAAGACAATATTAGTCCGTAGAAAATTTAATTTGTTTGAAACTATGTTTAATTTTTTTTTATTATTGGGTATCAATATAAATTTGCCACCCCTTAATAGACTAAACAAAATTTCGTTAGGGGGAATAAGGTTGTCTACTCCCTTCTCCCCCCCAAAAAGTTGAAAATTATTACAAAGTAGGCGAAGTCTTTGACGAAGTAAAAGGTTTAAAAGTATAAACTAGTATTTACCCTAATCCTATGTGTGTGATACTGTACATACTTACGATTTGCGCATTTAAATACAATAGATACTCGATTCGACACGTTCAAATCGAAAAGTATTAATTGAATTTTTCACGCATGTACTACCTAATTAATATTAAAAGATTCGGTGCTTATTTATTCGAAACATTTTTCAAAATTTCCAGATGATTTCTCCATTTACGCGCAATCACTTTTTATTTTTAATATATTTTCGAAAAGCTAATAGGAGAAGGGATGATTTACTTTCCTCTTCTTTGGACACCAACAGACGAGTCATTTTATAACAGATAATAGAAATTAAATTACTTTGTGAATCCCAACTTCCCAACTTCCCACCTATAACAGTGGCACGCTCGTCAGCAGTACCAGTCCTTTTTAAAATTTATACTGCCTACGTTACCATTAAATTATTTTTACTTCGCCCGCGTAGCAGTATTTTACGAGATTACACGTCTTATAGAATTTCTATATATTATTATAGTTACACAAATCCACTGGGTCTATCGGTCCTCTGTGGCAAGTATACATTAGAAGAAAGTGGTACCATATTATATATATATATATAAATAAATAAAAAAGATGGTACCTACCTTCATAAGGTTAGGTAATAGGTTTAAGTGCTGTCTCCGATGTGCAATATAAAAGATGGAAGTTTCCATTTGTAAAAAAAAAAAAAAAGCAACAGTGGACTGCAACCCAAAAAGCTTTTTACGCATTATTCCAATAGTTTTTATACCGAATACTTCTGTGAAATGGTAAAGTCAAAGAAAGAGAACTGTGTACAAAAAGGGAATAAAAGACGAACGATTTCAAACCCTTCGTCGCACAATCGGAATGCCATTAGGGTGATATTCCTACAATTGAATAAAACCATTCAGACATCAACTGCCACAAACATTATGTAATTTTAGTTATAAGGATGCATTTGAGATGTTCTGGAGTTATTATTATTATTATCATTTTTTTTTTTTTTAGCGAAGTATAACATTTTTCTTTTTTTTACACATTTTTTGGTCTACGATTTTAAAAATACGCTAAACTATATTAAATTAAAAACAAGTGCAAATAATATTATCAAAATCTCATAAGGTGTCATGTGGTCATTATTTAAGGGGTCATGTATAGGCTACGTGTACGGCTTTATATAAAAACTAAAATTGATCGATTCGAAAATATTCTAATTCTCTTTCTAATAAATTTAAAAATTAAAAAGTTTTTAAAATCAAACTGCGGGTGTTACATT